TTTTCTCCTTCAAACTTAATATTAAAATTCATATTAATATTAATATTATTATTATTATTATTATTATTATATTCTTATTATCAAATTTTTGAAACTCAAACGAAGAAGTAAACGTGCATTGATCATTTATCGAAATAATTCTTACGACTAATCTTTCCCCCCTTGTTTTTCTTTTTTTTTTTTTTTAATTTAAACATTTTTTAAAGAAAGAAAATATATAGACGAAACGAAATTAAAATAAATATAAGAAATATTATATTAATTTATTTATACGTATGCATGTGTATGTTCGTATGTGTATATATACGTATGCACCTCGAAAATGTAATTGTTCGGAAAAACTATTAATTTAAAGATTCAATTATCTAATCAATGTTTTTTCTTTAACATAAATATAAAAAAGAAAGAAGAAAACATATATAATCGAATAGTTAATATACAAATGTTTGTATTATATTGTTAGATTAATTAAATTTATGTTGTCGTCATTGTTGTGTTTCGTTTTCCTCGAAATTTCCTTAATGCACATTTAATTAATTCATTAATATATTCATTCATTGTTATAACAACGATTCGAAACACACATATAACATACATAACACATACATACATGCATACATATATACGGTCATACAAACGTGTATACAAAAATTCACACAAATCTTCTTATATATATGTATACTAAATATTTAATCCGATATTGTATAATATTTCTCTTACTATATAATTATTTATAATATACATTTATATATAGTACAGGACCTTGAAACCATAGGCCTATTATCTCATTACCATAATCGTAATTATTATTAATTAATTAATTTTATTATTAACAATACGAGAGATAATTTCTCTTAATTATTATAATGTAATAATAATAATAATAATAATAATAATAATGTTTAATACAATACAGGTGTATATGCAGTTAACGAATTTTTTTTTTTATTTTTGTTTTTACTTTATTATCTTTTTTTTTTGTTTGTTTTTATCATTACCAATCGTATAAATAATTTCATTTTTTGAGATTAAAATTAAAAAAAAAAAAGACTTTTCTTTTATTTAATTAAATACGAACGAGACTCTCAAAGTTTATAATGTGTACCATTTATTCTACAAGATAAAATAATTGAAGAGAAAAAAAGAATGAAACATCATTCAATTAAATAAATTAAAAAATGAAAAACTCGTTAGCCGTCATTATTATGAGTAAGTACAACGATGATTTAATTATTACTTTTCTTTTTTCTTCTTTTTATTTTCCCCCGTAATTTTTCTTAAGAAAGAGAGGAATAGATTAATAAAAAGCATGAAAGAGATTTTTGTTTATAAGAAAGAGAAATGTTATAATTGATTTGTATGAATTAATAAAATAATTGAAAAAAACAATAGGAAAAAGAAAGAAAGAAAAAGTAATGTGAACAAATAAATAAATGAATGGATTTAATTAAACAAAAATTTGTTTTTCTAATTCTAATCATTTCTAATACATATATCTCTTTCTATGCTTTTTATTTAATGGACAACGACGACGCATGATTAATAATCAATAAAGCGTTTTTATAAACACACGAATGAACACACGCACGCATACAGACACATGCAGGTACGCACACATCCACGCATACACACGGACGTAGATCAAATTATTATTAATAATTTTAATAATATATATATATAATATAGGTACACTTCTTTTCAATATTTATTTTATTAATCAATTTTATATCCACTTGTTTTATTAATATTTTATATTTTCTTCCGTGTTTTTTTAGGTCGATACTGTGTGTATGTAATATATAATTATAAATATATTTATTTTATTTCTAAATCGTTAATTCTAAATTAAATAAAATCAAAATGTTAAAATAGTCTGCTCGCGGTACGTTTCTTAAACAGGGAAGGTAATTTAGAGGCGAATCTGTTAAAATAAAACGATATGATTATAATAATCATTATTATTATTATTATTATTATTATTATTATTATTATTAATTATTATTTAATATAGACTTCTCGGGGGGAGGGGCGGGGCGATTAAATTCGATTTCGGTACGAACATAATTTATACATTATTATCCTGCCTATTTTTTTATTATTATTATTTTTTATTATCATTATTCTATTTTGCGATAAGAGGAACGTGTTCGTATTTGTTATATTTATATATATATATATGTATAATATGTGTGTATATGTGAGAGAGAAAGAGAGAGAAAGAAATGGAAAAGGGGATAGAAAAAGAAAATAAGTTACAGTTAATTAATTATATCATTAATAGCAAACAATGATTAATCAGTGGTTTAAATAATTAAACCATAAATAAATCCAAATAAAATTTTGTTATATTTGTATATGTATGTTCTTATGAGAGGATCTCATCTATTAAAATACAAATTTCATAATTGCATTTACTATTATACATGAAAAATTATTTGGATTGTTTGTTTTAATTAATTTAATGATTTTATGTAACTGATTTGTTTGTTTCTTTTTTTTTTTTACGTGAGGTTCGTCCACTTAAACTTAAATTGTATCGACGCATTTGTTTTGCATATTGAAAATATTTCTTCAATTTTTATTACTTTTTATTCTTCTTCTATTTTCTTTATTCTTTTATCTAATTTGATTAAAAATGTATGGATTTATTTATAAATTTATTAACGTGACAAATTCGTATATTGGAATTGAAAATATACATTCATTTCGTATTTTATTTCTGTGATTGGTTGAATACTCTTCTCTTTGAAAATATAATAGTTCTTTATTCATTTATTATTCTCTCTTACTACTTTTCAAAAAAGTTTAATTATATATTTTATTATTGATTTATTTATTTAATAGATTGATTAATATAACATATTTGGTAAATAAATCCTTTCGATCGTCAATCTTCACTCTCACTGGGGCTAAAACAGTCTACGTTCTCTCATTCTAAATCAAAAGCACAATAATGCCTCTGAATATATGTATTTTAATAATATGTATGTTATGCATTGTATATATACGTGCTAGTGTATCTGTATAGAGGTATATATATACATATATTTTTTGTATATTTTTTTTTCATTCGTGAAACGACGTTAAAAAATATTATTATTAATATTATAATTTATATATAAACGTCGTGATTTGTTGTTATCATTATTTTTTTCTTTCTTCTATTATAACTTTTAATTTTCTCTCTTTTTATATTCATGGAAGCGACGTTATTTTTCTTTCTTTCTTTCTTTCTTTCTTTTATTTTATTTTATTTCTGAACACGGTTTTAGCACCAAGAAAATTGTTTAAACTTTTCACTATTTTTTACTATATGTGTGAGAAGTAATAATAGTAGGTAGTAGTAGTAATAATAATAATAATAATAATAAATATTTTTATGATAATTGCACAAATTATTTACATGTACGTTTTTCAGTATGTGTATATATGTGGGTACGCATCTCTCTCTTTGAAATTACATACTATGGGGATTTCTGTTTTATTTTAGATTGTCTAAATTATATAGGATATTAAACATGAAAGAGAGAGAAAGAGAGAAAATCCTATGAACAAAAAAATAACGTCTTATCAAAAAGGAACTCTAAGAAAAAGAAAAAAAAAAATATTCTGCAATTAAAAATGCAGCTTTTGTCTTAAGAATTAATTTCTTCAATGTCTCTATTTTTAACTCATTTATTTATAAGGGTGTTTCGTGATAATAATAATATTATTAACAACAACGAAGATCATACCTTGCAAACTTAAATATACAAATATCCATAAATTAATATGTATGCGTGTAATATATAAAAAAGAATTATTGTAAAACAAACTTATTTTAAATAATTATTGGAAAAAGAAAAAAAGATTCGATTAAAAATTCATAAATTACGAGTTAAAGGAACGTTCATTGTATATATTATATTCATTTTAAACGATTCTTGGTATAAATGTTTATATTAAATAATAATTATAGAGGAATAATAATAATATTAATAATAATATAAATAAAAATAATAATAGTGACGATTTTCTTGTCTATACGACAGACTAATGATAATAATGAATGATGATAATAGCAATAATATAATAATAATATTAATAATAATAATAATAATAATAATAATAATAATATATCTCTTTCCTGATGCCTATTATTTGTTGATTAAATTAATAAATGAAATAATAATTATTAATTAATAAAGCCTGCGTTTAAAACAAAAAAAAGCGAAAATTGGATATAAATTTATATTTGTTTAATCGTCCTGCTTTAGGAAGAAAAACAAAAATGTTGTATCAACATCATCAACGCGATAATCAATCTAATTATCGCTTAACTAATAAACTATCTATCAGTCGCAATGATTTCATTCATTTATCATTATTAATATGATTTTATTTATTCGAACTGAGATAAAAGTGACAATGATTGCGATTAGGATCGGTATCTCGGTCTTTGCTTATTGAAAATTCGTAACGAGGTCATACGTAATATAAATTATTCATCTTGCATAATTATGTACATGTATAGTTGACTTTATTATTATTTAAAATAGTATTTTTATTCGCTGCCATATGTAATCAGCTGCACTCTCTTTCTCTCTCTCTCTCTCTCTCTCTCTCTCTCTCTCTCTCTCTCTCT